CGTCTTATTGAAGCAGACATCGACCGCAGGGATACCACCCTAGAAAGTCAGGGCATTGCTATCCGGTCAGGCGTTGTTGAGCTCGAAATATTTAACGTATACATACCCCCTGTCACTTGCTGCACGGCAGGATATCACCCTGATATAGGTGCGCTCCTCAGAGGTGAAAACCATTTGGTAGTAGGTGACTTTACTGCGCACCACGATCTTTGGCATTCAAGCCTGTCAAACGATCGTAGGGGAACAGACTTGGCTGAGCAGATAAACGATTCGACATTCTGCGCAATGAACGACGACGCACCCACCAGGATTATGGGCAGCTGCTGCAGCTCGCCAAACATAACAATAGTCACCGCTGGTCTGATAAACAGCGTATCATGGCGACGTATGCTGACTTTGACATCAGACCATCTGCCCATAGTCATCTCGATCGATAAACCAATCGACTTTGCCTCCGCGGAACACCGGACCTATATCAACTGTTCTAAAGCTGATTGGAAAAGCTTCGCGGAATTTACTGAGAGCACCTTCGCTGCGCTCCCCACACCAACCGACGTCCACCTTGGCGAACGTAAGTTCCGCAGGGTTGCCACTGCTGCTGCAGCTCGCTTCATACCGGTCACGGACCCCCGTCCAAACTTCCCTGCTGAAGCGGCTGTGCTAGCCAATGAACGTGACAACCTTCGTCAGGCTGATCCCGGAAATCTCCGTATCTGGGATCTCAAGGAGATTCGGCAGCTTGTGAACGAAAATAAGCGGAAAAGTGGGAGGAGCATCTGAAGACTTGTAATTTCACCACTGGTGTGAGTAAGCTTTGGTCAACCGTGAGGTCACTGTCCAATCCGACGAAGCACGACGGCAAGGTCGAAATTTCTTTCGGCGACCATGCTTCGTCGGACCCGGAGCGATGCGCGAGCTATTTTAGCCGGCAGTTCATATTGCAAACTGCCAACAACTTTTGCCTCCCTTGCTTTCACTTGCAGTGAAGTTCAGGTGGCCATCGGGAAGGCGAAAGCCCCCAAAGCCATGGGTGCCGACGGAATATGCATGTTGATGCTGAAAAATTTGGGTCCTGCGGGAGTAGCGTACCTAACGGAGGTCCTCAATATGTCAATGGCCACTCTCATCATCCCAGACATCTGGAATGTGGAGAGAGTGGCCCCACTGCTCAAACCCGGAAACCCAGCCAAAAGAAGAATCTTATCGGCGGATAATACTTCTTTCCGCGGTAACGAAGACACTAGAGGCCTTACTGCTCCCGTATTTCACTAACCACGTAACCCCAGCGAAGCATCAGAATGGTTTCCGTAAAGTATAGAGGCTTACTCTCTCCCACAGAGGATCAAACGGTGGTCGGCGAATTATCTGAGTGGTCGACACTCGTCGGTAATGTTTAGAGACAAATCGAGCAAAATGAAACAGGGGGTTCCACATGGTGGTGTTCTTTTCCCACTACTGTTTAACTTTTACAATTCAAAGCTCCCTCAACCACCAGAGGGAGTATCGATTGTCTCTTACGCCGACGATTGCTCGATCATGGCGACTGGGAATGGAATTGATGATTTGCGTTCGAAAGTAAACAGGTATCTCTCCGAGCTTTCTCGCTTCTTCACTGCAAGGAGCCTAACACTCTCCCTTACAAAATCCTCTGCGACCTTCTTCACCACCTGGACGAAGGGGGTCAGGCTACCGCTGTGAATTCACGTCGATGATACACAAATTCCGACAGTGAATAACCCCAAAACACTCGGAGTAGCTCTCCTTCTCTGCGCACGCAACCGCAATTGTCAACAAAGTACAGAGCCGCGAAACGGTCCTCAAGTCGCTAGCCGGCAGTACTTGGGGCAAAGACAAAGAAACGTTGCTGGCAACATACACGGCAATAGGCCGGCCGATTTTAAATTACGCAGCACCAGTGTGGTCGCCGGGGACTAGTAGGAAGCAGTGGATGAAGCTGCAGACGACGCAAACACCGCACTACGGACAGCGATTGGATGCCTTCTGATGTCGCCAGAACACCGCCTGCACGACGAGGCGAAACTGCTCCCGATTAAGGAGGGCAACACAATGCTCTGCAAGCAGTGTATTGTTGGGAGCCATAGACGTGGTCACCCAAATAGGCAACTGCTTGCAGAAAAGCCCTCGCCCAGGCACGTCAGGAGGCATCTCTACGAACTGGCGGACGAAGTCCAGAGGTTCATTAAACAACTTTTGGACCCGTCAGCTTATCGACAGGCCCTGAACGGCATTCACAGGGAGTCAGTCTCGAGTTATGTAGACTCCAGACCTGTGAATGCCGTTCAAGGCGCACAACCACCGGACATTAACGAGACGGAGCCTCATCTGCCTCGGGAGACTAGAACCACAATAGCCCAACTTGGCTCTGGCTACTGCAGCAGGTTAAACTCATACCTGAGCAGACTAAGCGCAGATGTACCAAATGAGTGTTTGGCATGCCGAGACACCCCATGACTCGAAACATCTCTTCGTATGCCCGGAAAACCCGACAACCCTAACGCCTTTGTCCCTGTGTACCGACCCCATTGAGGCTGCTCGCTTCTTAGGGCTGCCGTTAGTGGAACTTGACGACAACGACTAAGATATTAACCTATCTGGGCGGGGTTGCTGTAGCCGCTACAACAACAAGCACATTACTTTTCATTTTTCCATGTTAGTTAGCCATGTTGTTTAAGTCTGCTTGTAGCAAAGGCTTTTCTTTAATTGATACGTACGATTTATAAAGTTTCACATCATCTGCGTACATTAAAATTTTTTAAAATTTTATACAGTGCCGGACAAAAGTATTGGCACAGAGAATTTTTCGCAATATCTGAAAAGTTTTTTATTCTAATTTATTTTCGATAATTTATTATAAATATATAGTTCGTCCTACACCAAAAAACATAAAAACTAAATCTCTAAATTTTGTGCGAAACTCAGGAAAATTCATTAAATTTGCATACTTATTTGCAACTTTCTATTAAGATTTTTTAGAAAAATTCTAAGTATGCAGTTTTATAGCTCAACTAATTTTAGTATAACAAAGTGCAAGCTTGAAGGTGCTAAAAAATCGCATTTGATTCGCATATATTGCGAAAAATTCTCTGTGTCAATACTTTTGTCCGGCACTGTATTTGTAACAATATCGTTTATAAAAAGCAAGAACAGAATCGGGCCTAGGTGGCTACCTTGCGGGACTCCTGAAGTAACATCAATGACGTCAGAAATAGTATTTTTAAACATTACCCTTTGAGATCTATCATAGAGGTATGAAGAGATCCAACGTAGAATATTAGGTTGAAGACCAAGATGATCAAGTTTATAGATGAGCAACGAGTGACACACTTTGTCAAATGCTTTACTGAAGTCGGTATATATAACATCCACATTTTTGTTTTCACTGTTTATAAAAATATAATTAATATATAAACAATATATAAAATAATAAAATAAAATGTCTATCATACTCGGGTGTAAAAAATGTTTGACTCTCATTTTGTAAAGTACATAAATTAATTATTAGTAATTTCTATATTATGAACAATTTTCAATGTTTTTTTGCCTTTGCAGAATTTAAAATGGTGAAAGTTACTACAAAGTTTGTACAGTTTGTTGTAGTACAAACCAGCAACTTGAGGTATTAATACAACAGATGGAGATGAACCCTTCGATTCCTCATGATAACATTGGAAACATATCACCTGCAATTTAAATATCTTCGGTTCACCAATGCTCAAAGAATGGCAGAGGGTATGGAAATATTTCAAGGCAAAATTAAAAACCAAATGGCCCGAAACATGCGTAATATTTCAACGGGCAGGAATTTCAAAATTTCAACCCTTTTTGTGTTAAATCGGCCCTATTCCCGTTGGCGTTGTCGTTTTAAAACGAAATAAAAACGACAAGTTGGCATCACCGTTGGCGTTATCGAAGTTTATCGGAAATATATCGGTATTCTCCATTTTTAAACGAAGATATGAACGCCATAGAAACATTCGTCTACTGTCGTCCGCATTTTTTAGAACGAAAGCGAAAGGATTGCGATTTTAATAAAGTTAAAATGAAAATTACTACCGTGCAGCAATTTGAGGTTTTAGTTTCCGAAATGGAAAAGAATCCCGCGTACGCCAAAGGTTTTAGGAAGGGCATAAAACCTCTTAACTTCAACAGTTTTTGGAACGTGGTTGCGGAAAAAGTAAATCCTTTTGGACCTCCAGTTCGTGATAGAGAAGGTTGGCATAAAGTAAGTAAAATTATTTTAACAGTAAATATTACTTAAAACTAACGATTCTACAATTCTACTAAAGGTATGGAAGGACTTGAAATTCAAGGTAAAGAAAAAACTGGTCAACAACAAAACCGAAGCGAGAGCAACAGGAGGAGCCAATAGACAAATCCAACTGTCTCCACTGGAAGAAGCGGTGGCAAATTTGTTGCAGTTTGAGCAGCAAATAAACCCCAAAGGGAGTGAGTTGGGTTTGGTTGAAGAAACCGAAATTTATGAGTTGCTTAACCTTGATGAAACGACTGCGAGTTCTCAAGTACAGGCAAATGCAGAAAACGCCGAAGAATACGTCACCGAAGAATATGTAGAAGATGAAACACCCACAGTTTCAACAAGAGTGCGGTCCTCAAGAAGCACAAAACCTGCAGAAAAAGAAAGAATTGAGCTGTTAAGGAAGCAGACCGAAATACAGGAAGTGCAGTGCGACCATTTACAGTCCATTAAGGGATACATGAAAGATGTTTCCAGATACCAAAGAAAAAGGTATGAGATAGAAGAGGAACGCCTAAAAATTTACAAAAGGAAAGTGCGTAAAGAGGAAGAGCTTTTGGAGCTGGATGCTGCAATAAAAAGAAAGAAGTTGGAGTTATTGGAGAAACAATTAAGTTCCAATATCTAATTTATTTCATTTGAATTTTTATTTATTTTTTATGAAGTGTTTTTTCTTTTTTTACTTTAAGTATGTATGTATATAGTATTAATTAAAAAATATAACTTATAAAGACAAATTGCTTTTAATCACATCTCTTATTCTGGAAGCCTCTGAGCTACTGCCTGCCTCATTTTCATTAATAATGGCAGAATTTTCTGCTTCTTCGAAAGGCGTTTGTAGATCATCTTCAGGAAAGTAAGTATTGTAGTGAAGACAAATATTGTGGAGAGCAGCACAAGCGTTTACGATTTTATTAATTTTTTGGGGATCATAGTGTAACTCACGCGCTCCAAGGAGGCAGCGAAATCGCGATTTGAGTACTCCAATCACTCGCTCAACAATATTTCTGGCTTTGGAATGAACGGAATTGTAGCGGCTTTCCGCACTGTGTTCAGTCGCTGATCTATAAGGTGTCATTAGAAATGGTTCTAATGGGTAACCCGCAACGCCTAAAAACTTGTATGTAAAACTCATTTCAATATTAATTGTAATTTCATACCAAGAATCCACGAATTACGTTCACCAGCTTCATATTTTTCCTGTAAAAACCTTCTTACTCGGCTGGTATTCCAAATTAAGGAATCGTGTCCAGAGCCTGGATGTCTGGCGTCTACGTATCTTATACGCATTTTATGATCACAGATCTAATACAAAAAAGAATAAATAGTTAGTAATCACTTCCATAAATTACATTCATTCAAGTATTTACAATCATTGCATTTATGCTAAAGAAACCTTTTCTGTTGTAGTACAAATGTTGAGAGCTTTTGCAGGGACCAATTATTTTAATATGTGTTCCGTCTACACAGCCAATGATTCCAGGAAAACCAGTTCGTTCAAAAAAACTTCGCTTGCACTCCATCGCCTCATCTTCCGACATTTGGAACTTAACCCAGTTTTTGCAAATTGTAGTTTCCATCACGTCTAACACCTCGGATAAAATCTTGCTTACCGTGGGTTGGGCCAACGACAAATTAAAGTCATTTCCAACGCTAAGCTGATATGACCCTTGCGCAAAAAAAAACGCAAAGCAGTTGCCAGTTTTATTGTTGGCGTAATAGCAGACTTTCGCGTGTTGCGTTTTAGTTTCGGGCGGATTTGCTCTAGGACGTATTGAAACGCAGCTTTGTTCAGTCTAAAGGTGTTCACAAATCTAAAAAATATGCACATATGTACATGTACGTATATATATAAATAATTTACTCAACTACATTTTCTTACATTGTATCTGGAAGTGTTAGTACATTTATGCTATGCCGTAATCTCCTGCGATGTTTATTTATGTTGTTCATTTCATTGTCCTCACTTGAACTTGAAAAATAAAATTCCGTACTCGCCATTCTTTAATTTTTCGTTAGTATAACAAAATTCAAAATTCAGTGTCAAAAGTAACAACGCAAAACATTGCAGCGCTACCATACTTTATTAATTTTAATTTTTTGTTTTCGATAACTTTTCTCCGTCGTTTCAATATACTTCAAGAATGCGAATTTAGGAACGAAGCGACGATAAAAACGACAACGACATAGAAACGATTATTATAACGACAACGCCAACGGGAATAGGGCCGAATATTTTATTTTTATCAGTATTTTTGTTTTAATCAATCTATGTTGAAATAAAGGTGAAAATAAAAAAATCCTAGCTACGGCCCTATAACGAGAAATACATATGTATATGTAGCATTCAACTATTTCACATATAATTGTAAAAAAATGCAGGAGTGGTTCATTTGCTTACACTTTCTTTGGTGCCTTCAATAGCCATAAAATACTAAGCGATGCAATTACTATTATAGATGGTGCTAGAGATGAGTCGTTTCCATGTCTTACAATACTGTAAAAAAAAAAAAATTAAATGTAGTCAAAAATGTTCAAATGTTAGACGATCAATCAATAAATAATTTTCTTCAAAGATATAAGGTTCAAACAGCAATTAACCGTTTCGCTAGCTGCAAGTGTTTCATACAGATTTGCGATATACATAGTAGTGGTGGAAAATTATCGATGGTGCATCACAATCGCAACTATCGATAGTGATGACTATCGACAATACATGACTATCGATACTATCGACGATATTTCATACCGTTGTGTGTACACGTGTAGAAAAATATGAGCAAATCTCAGGCGCCTTGATGGATCGTGATATGGATAGCAAAATATCTAGAAATTTTGAAATCCGGATCACGGATCGCAATACTGTCAATAAATATTGAGCGTGTAGCATCAAAACGCGATCCATACATTTACCCCCTTGTTATAGAACCCGAATTTTCGTAATTCGTCATTCGTAGCTACGCTACACAAAATGAAAAATCCACATGCTGCATCCCTTGCGGAAACATGTGCTGCATTGCCAGTTATCAGTTGTTTTTCGAAGATAGCTGAATGAAGGAAAACAAAGTGGAAAGGAATTAAAAAAACACTCATGAAGCGCTTATTTATAGTAAAATTGTTTGATTTTACATATTTTGAAGGAAACGGTGGATTCTATTGCATTTGCAATTATAGCAGCGGAAGAAGAGCGCGCTATGGGAATGATTTCACAAAGATACGCGGAGCTGTCGGGCATAGTAACCATGTGCGCGTCTATGTCAGCTTCTGGTTGAATTGTTGAACCACAAGTCAGAACTACTCCTATGCGTGAAGAACTGGTTCTCAATCCAGTTAATGCAATAACAGGTTCTTCCAAGCCATTGAAGACATGCAGTTTGTTATGGCCACCACCTGTTGCACTTGCTTCTGCCTTCGGCCGCGCGTAGGGATTATAACCCTTACTAAGTAGAATTCTCCATTCTGTTTTGCCGGAGAAGAAGGGCTTCCGCATGTCAAAGGTATAAAACACTTCTTGTGCACATCACTCCGGCTACGCCATCCACAGTATTTTTGCGCAGAACCCACGTCCAAATTCGCAAAAAAGTGCATAGTGCAAACCGAATTTATTAATATGATAGTGCTCGGAAATTTGAAACATTTATTTTAAATAAAGTTTTAATCATTTGATTACACGTGATGTTAAAGTTTTTGGATTCGGATTATGCGTTTGGACACAACAACCGAAAATCATTGTACAAATAACTAAACCGGACCCAAGTTTCTCGATAAGGGGCAACAAAGATTCTGTTTTACTCGTTTATATAAAGCAGTGGATAAAAATATACTTCTATGCGAAGGACAAATTTATCTGTTTAAATGAACAACACACATCGATTTACGTCTTTTATCTCGCCTCCGACACAGAATTGTTTTCGTACAAAATTACGCAAAAAAGCGTACTCGTTCCTTTTTAGGCATGCCATTGTTATTGTATAATAAACCAAGTGTATTATATTTAATTAATCCGTGGTGTTTTGTTCTGATTATTTTCTTTCAAAATAAACCCTTGGTGCAACTGCGGGCAACGTTGCCCCAAGTGTTTTCATGGTCCATCCCCGCCGAGACAAAGACACCAAGCGGCCGTTTATTAAAACAACAAAACGTTACAGTCCACAACACAAGGAGCAATATTCAAAGCACCATCACCGGGTCGAATTCACTAGCACAGGGAGCAATATTCAAAGCACCATCACCGGGTCGAATTCACTAGCACAGGGAGCAATATTCAAAGCACCATCACCGGGTCGAATTCACTAGCACAAGGAGCAGCTTGACATACTTCAATTGCAACTCCAAAACCGGAGCATCTGTAGCGACTGCGATAGATACTCACATTCACAGAGCACTTGCTAATATCACAAACCCCAATCACTCAGCTTAAATTCACATCCTCAAACACCGGATAATAAAAGGTACGTGGCTGACATTTAGTGCTTTTAAAAATATTTACATATATTTGTAGTGGATTTTCGCTCAAGAAAATATACATATCTATCACAATCGGTTAAATTATCCGCGAGTGGTTTTGTGGTTCAGTGTGTTCTTTTGCTCATTGATTAACATATTTTCTGCGTGCGATTTCTTAACATCGGTTTTGGGCACAATATACCGGCAACAATTAGTGCGCGCCGCCAACTTAAGACAAAAACCTCAATTCAGTTTTGTTAGTACGACTTTTTAATCAAGTTAAGTTGTAGCACAATTTTCATAAAAATTCGTTGAGTAAATTAGTTTCACATTATCACAGTTTCAATTTACTAAAGCATTTTATCTGCGACCATAATCCTTTAATATTGGTGCTGCAAGTAGGTTCAATTTGCTTAGTCACAAACACTAACAACACTTCACGGGGTGGTCTTAACCTCACTTTGGCTTGAAATTTTGTGCTAATACACACTAAATTCACTCGTACGACCGATATTTCACATCCACAAAACCACTTTTCGCGTGTGACACAGAATTTTCTGATAGATTCAATTATTAGCACTGTTTATAATTGCTTCGATTTAAATATTAATTATATCTTGCTGTGTTGGGTGGCGAGCAAATTACATATATTACCTGTAAGCGTAAGAGATTAATATTCGTACACATACATACACATATACAAGGCAAGTTTATATATTTGAAATATTAAATAAAACTGGTGGTACGGAATTGGAATTCCACTTTAAATTTTGTGTACGAAATTCTTTGAATTGTGGTGTTGCAAGGTTACAAATTCTTCTCGGGAAGACAATCCTCAGTCCCATATCCTTCAAAGTTTTCTTCTAATTATACCAAGCGATGGATAAGTATATTCGCCTGGCAGACGCTGTGACAGAATTTGAGGCCGACTACAACGACGCGGCCCAAACTGATCACACCAAATATACTCTGGTCATTCAACGAGAGGAGTTGAAAACTTTATGGAAGAAAGCGAAGGCAGCATATGAGG